CAGTGTGGGGTGTGCAGCAGGCAGCTGATCGATGTTTCTCTCTCATCGATGTTTCTAACTCTCTATCCCTCTCCCTTCCTCTCTGTAAAAAATCAATAATGTATATTATTAAAAAATCAAACCTAATGCAAATTCCATGGTGAATGAAATATCAACAGGCTAAATGAAGACCGATCAGTTACTGAGTCATGGGAGCCATGGTTTGCTGATATAGAACAGTCGTCACTGCTGATCTGGCCTTTGTAAATGCTGATATTATGTGATTCATGAGTCGCCTTACCTTTGACTGTGTAGATCAGGGGTCCTCAAACTTTTTACACAGGGGTCCAGTTCACTGTCCCTCAGACCGTTGGAGGGCCGGACTATAGTTTAAAGAAAAACTATGAACAAATTCCTATGCACATCGTACATATCTTATTTTGAAGTAGAAAAACAAAACAGGAACAAATACAATATTTGTATTTGCATGTGGCCCGCGGGCCGTAGTTTGAGGACCCCTGGTGTAGATCCTGCATTGAAATAGCGTTCATCCTGACGCTGAGCTGTGCCCCTTCAGTCCTGTGCTGGAGGCCAGAGCCTCACCTGCCTCTGGCTGGTGCCACCACCCTCCCTTCACAGCAAGTGACAGGTCCCTCTTCTCCCCGCTCTGTGCTCAGGGAGCTGACACACACTGGGAACCCCGTCATGCAGAAGAGTGCTTCCTGAATCGGGTCCGTTCTTGGCACCTGGATGAGGGGAAGCAGTACAGCCTCACCTGCTGCTACATCTGGAGCCCCTGCCCTGACTGTGCCCAGAAACTGGTGGAATTCCTGGGCGAGAACAGCCATGTGAGGCTGCGCATCTTCGCTGCTCGCATCAATACCAAATACCATGGTTATCAGGATGGGCTGCGCAACCTGCGGGACGCTGGGGCCCAACTCGCCATCATGACCCTCAAAGGTCAGCAGGGACTCCTGAGGGTGGGAGGTGGGCGGGCAGAGAGGCTGGGAAATGGCTACACAGAGGGGGCAGGAGGAGAATCCAGGTGGGGAAGCCTGTCAGCTGCCTGCAGGGGGGCTGCTGGGTCTGGAGAGGATGGAGTCCCCTGGAGGAGAGAGTTCAGGGGAGA